GACATTTTGTTATAGCACCACAAATAGACTGTATTGCCTTATCCAAGTGATCAGGACCACCAGGAACAGATAGTTATTTCATGCAACTCCAGATCTAATGTACATGGCCTTTTTTACATTCTTCCCAATAATTCATCACCTCAATCTAAGTAGGAGAAAATATGAGGCACACCCAAATTGAGAGACATTCTACAAAATAATTGACCAATAGTCTTTAATAATATCAAGGTCTGCAACGATGTGGACAGAATGAGAAACTGCTTCAGATTGGAGGAAGCTAAGGAGACATGACAGCTAAATGTAATGTATGATTCTAAATTGGATTTTGGAAAAGATAAAAGACATTAGTGCCAACACTCATAAAATCAAAATAAGCTCTCTACTTTAGTTAATATATTGCACCAAAGTCAGCTTCACAGTTTTGATAAGCATTCTAGAGTTACAGAAGACACTGCCAAAGGAGAAGCTGGTTAACAGTCTATGGGAACTCCCTGTAATATTTCTGGAACTCTTCTTTAAAACTAAAATAATTCATATGTTTTAAAAAAGAAGTAGATATGCGTTCTTCGTTTTCTTGTTCCCTTCTTTTCTCCTTTGAGGGTGACTGCATGACCAGAGTGAAGGTGTCAGTCGAGCCTCAGAGGTAGTGATGCTTAGGAGATGGCAGTAGGGATACTTCCGAGGTGGGGTAAAGCCAACAAGGCCAGCACTTTCCTGATTTTTTCTGGCCTCTAGTGATGACTTACCATTCTTTAAATTCAGAAGCTTTTCTGATTTTAGCTCTCTAATTTGAGTGTGGGACACCTGCAGAATCCATCTGCTATTGAAAATTTCCAAACATAAGCCTCAAATTGGGATTCACAGAATTCACAGAAGATTCAAATCTTCTAATTTGCCCTTCCTCTTCCTCTACCAGATAACTAGGAAAGTGTATGGGAACCTCTACTTACTCTTCCCCAACCTCCAGAACTTTGATCTTAAACCTGAACTTTTAACTTTCACTTTACACTCAGAAAATGAAGTTGCATTTACTCCTCTATTCTTAACAAGTAGAATATGGTGGGAAAATGAAAGTTCTAACAGAGACTTCACAAAAATGATATTAGACACACAAATGGCAGGTGGACCTACAGGACTAGAAGGAAAAGGGCGGACAAGAATGAGTTAGACAACTATTTAAGTTTTACTTACACTGTCTTAGTAAATATTTCAAAGGAGCAGATATGAGTATTTGTGAAAAGAGTTGTTGAATGAGTGATTGGTATAAAAGAGGAATGCCTGCTCCTCACAATAAGCACATAAAGGAGTACCCTGGAGAAAACCTGATATGTGCCGGTGTAATTGAGGGAATGAGTGCACTGGCCTCTGCTGTAAGAGATTTGGGGATGATTGTTCCTTGTGGACCAGGTGTGGGCCAAGTGTGAGAAAGAACCACTGTGGAGTCACCTTAGTTCCAACAGAGCCACCTGAAGAGCTGAAGAGTCATCAGCAGAGAGAAGTGGAGGTATTTATAGCACAGAATTCTAGCAACTACAAAATGTATAAGTGGCCAGCTATGGGAAAGATGTTTTCGTCTCAAAGAAGCTGTAGGTGGAAGATCCCAGTGAAGAGAGATTTCTGAAGAACACTCTTATGAGAGGTAATTCTATCTACTAGCCAGATGAAGAGAGTGAGATTCCCGCTCCCAAGAATGACCAGATGTAATAATTTTCTACCTCCTCCCCTTTCATGTTCTCCAAATTTTATATCCTTATCTGAGGGCTCTGAAACAACACTTAAAAAGCTGCAGAATATGGGCAAAAAGTGATAGGCCTATGTAGCGATGGATAAAAGAAGAAACTACATAGTCCCAGTTCTCATTATGATCTTCCTATGTATGACAGGCCCTACATGATGGAGAGAATAAGACCATTTTAAACCAAGAGTTATGTCTGATATACAGGACTGGACATTTTAATTCCTGATTGGTGAAGCTGATATCAACTGAGAATGACCAAAAAGACATGGGATTTACTGTTACTTCTAATCAAGGCAGAGAAAACCTTTCTCACTGAATGACTTTAATAGTTCAGTGGAGATGAAAATAAAGAGGTTAAATTATTTATGCTGTGAGGCAGGCTTGTTTAAATGATCAGTAATTTGGCCATTTAGTATTTGCATTTATACAAATGTTATGCATGGCATTGAAATAAAGAAAAAATAAATAACAGTTATTGCTTATACAGGTTGAATGTGCACTATCCAAAATGCTTGGGACCAAAAGTGTTTGGCTGTTGGATTATTTTAGGATTCTGGAATATTTGTATATACATTAAGAAATAGTTTGGAGATGAGACCCAAGTCTAAAAACAAAGTTTATTTATGTTTCATATATAAAACATATAGCCTGAAGGTAAGTCTATATAATATTTTACATCATTTTGTTCATGAGACAAAGTTTATGTTAGGTATTTATGTGTAGAATTTTATACTTGTGGCATGATAGTAGTGTTACAGATTTCAGTAAAGTTTCAGATTTCGGAACATTTGGGATTTCAAATTTTTGGATGAGAGATACTCAGCTTTTTATAGAAAATGAAATGTAAAAATTTAAATACATTTGATAGAAAAATATAGGTTTTGAAAATGTTACATGGAAAAATCAGTATCAATGAAAATTTGATTTATTTTAATACCTCCGCACTGCTGGGTGGGAGAGGTGACTCATGTCTATAATCCCAGTGTTTTGGGAGGCCAAGGAGGGAGGATTACTTGAGCCCAGGTTTTCCAGACAGCAGTGAGCTATGATCATGCCATTGCACTCTAGCCTGGGTGACAGAGTGAGACAAGGTCTCTAAAAAAAAATAATAATAATAAAATAACATACCTCTACAATTGGCCAGACATGGCCAGAAGTTAGGATTATAAGAATAACATGTATTATGCATAATGGAACTTGATAAAGACATTGCTTATTAAATGAACAAACTACCTTTAAAAATACTGAGAAGGAATCAAGGAATTCCTCCTGAAGTTAATCTGCATCTCCATAAGAAAGATTAGTTTGGTTTCCTCCTTTGTAACCCCTGTGAAAGTAGAGAAAGAAGAAAATAGAATTCCAGGGCAAGATCAAGGAAGAAGTTTTACAAGGATGTCATACACAAAAGATAACTGGGGACTGGAAAATAATTCAGTACGATAAGGCTTGGAAAGGGAAGCAGGAAGTACTGGTCTTCAAAAAGTGAGCATTTTGAAAGTGCTAGGAATAATGGGATGAAATAATTATATCTATTTTAGAAGACAGGTAAGCATTAAAGGGATATTCACAGACATATTGGATTAAGGTGAAAACAGACTGAATGCAGTCAAGGTCAATGAACTGTCATATATTTCAAGAGGATAAAATTGTTAAAAAAAAAAAAAAAAAGCGGAGACTTTGCTTTTTGTTGTTGTTATAAATGGGTATTGGTTACAAACAAAGCAATTCAAATATCTATCATTAATCAAAATATGATGTGGCTATAAAAGGCGGAGGGTTAAAAGTGGAAATTTGGGGAAATACTAGCATACAAGTCCCTGATAAAGAAAGAGAAGAATGAAAAAGGAAGATTAAGAAAGGAAACTCAGAAAAAGCAGTTAGCACAAGTCAAATGTGAGAATGTCAAGAAGGTCAGGTTCAGCTGAAAGATCAAGCAGAGGAAAGTCAGAAAAGGTCATTGGAGTTGGCAATTCAGAGCTCACACATGATTTCAAAAGGAACATTTTCAGGAACTTAAATTAACTCAATGAAAACACAAGAATGAGTTGAGTGTTAATGTTGCTTCCAGTAATAATAATTCTGTTATCTTGGATTTAAGTTCTCAATCTAACTTGAAATATGAAATGTTTTAATTATGTTTTCCTCTAGTTACAGAAGTGACGTATTTGAACTTTCATTCATTATATTGACAACAATTAACCATCCTCTATGCCTGTGCCCTTAAATGCTTTAGCTTACATAAAAATTTGGAAGGAAAATACTTTGAGGGTTAAATAAAAGTTTTTTTTTTTTTTTAAAGCAATCTCATCCAATATTCTAGTGAAAATTTAGTGTTTGTCTTTCTTTGCAAAATAGACATTGGTAGGAAATAAAAAATATAGTTAAATTTAAAATGATTTTTAATAGCTTTCTAGGAATTCCTTCCTTCCTAATAATATCTGATTGTGGAGAAACAATTTTCATCCAGTAAATAAGTTTTAATATTCCAAATTATGACTATGTGGTTATCATGTTTTTGAAGACACTAAAATTTATTATTTAAGCAGTAATTTCATGCTTTTGAAACAGGTATAGGTTATACCATTCTGTATTAATAATCCAATGCTTCCTACTCAATTCATTTCAGCAATCGTCATTTTCTATCACGAGCAGCTACCTGTAATTATAAATTAGTTCCCTTTTTTACTCTTATATACATAATATTTGTGATATTCAGTACATCAAGTAAAAGACAAATTTTTAAAATTCCACATAAACTCTGGGAGTTAGGAAGCCGCTTTACTAGTAGACTGAATAATTATAAAGTTTATTTTGGCACAATTGCTTTTGGCACTTTCTAACATAATCCTTTCTCTTATGTGCAGATTTTTAATGGGTTATACTTCTATAAATAAATGAATGTTTTAAAACATTACAAAACCCAACTAACATATGAGAGCCATGGTATTATCTCCTGCTGTCATCACAATTGAAGAATTAAGGGATTCACAGCATTTTTCTATCTGCTATGAGATTTAGCAGATTTTCATAATTGTATTTCTGATAAGTATATTTTTCTGCTAAAGCTTAATATAGAACTTTAACAGGGACATTTCAACTTCTTGTAAAATAAGATTAAAATGGAAATTTAGTTTACTGAGATACATAAGTGTAATATTGTTTTGAACATTAATATGAAAAAAAAAATAATTAAAAACAAGTTTTGAAATTTTAAGCCAACAAGTATAGCTTGATACTTTTGATTTTTTTTTTTTTTTGAGTCTTAATTTCAGAGTTTTACTGTATTGCACTAAAGGAACAGCAGGATGGTTATACAATTTTCTCTCTCATTCAGTTTTGAAAATCTAAAGTACCTACAAATTCTTAAGAATACCTTTACCACCAGATTAGAACAGTAAGCATAATAACCAATTTCTTAATAAGTAATGTCTTACAAATAAAAACACATTTAAAATAGCTTTAAATGCACTCTTCACAAGTAATTCAGCATATATATTTTATATCATGTTTACTTATGCTTAAGAATTAAAGCAAGTATATTTATTACTCTGATGGAAATATGGGAAATCTCTCATTCATGCAATATACAGGGATAGTATCAAGTCAAAGGGAAAAATCCTGCTTTTTATTTTTGTAAATGTATCCATATATAATCATCTACATGACAGATGAGAAAACCCAAGAAGTTTCCCACTAGACAGATATACATTTTCAGTTCATCAGAAGCACCTGATATCTACAACTAATTTATAATTAGACACTGTTTCAATGAAACCAAAATGAGCCCTACAAGTTCCTATAAACAAAAACTTCCAATGTACTAAGACAGTCAGTAATCAATGCATCATTCAGAGGATTATGGCTGTTCCTTAAGAAGTGCAAGTTCAAACCTGTCAATACCAGAGGTAATCATTTTATATTAATTTATATGTAATTCCATTTAAATTCTTTATCCGAGTATAACATATAAAAACAGTCTTTCCACAAGAAAAAAAATGTGGAAACATTTAAAAAATAAGGAGTCATTTTTAAAGTAACTGATCAGATTCCACAGGCTACTCTTGGAAACAGGATCTTGTTGGATAGAATCCCTTCATGTGGTGGCTTTTTGCATGCACTTAACTGGACCAATTCTTCTGTGTGTTGTTCTAAGAGCTCACCAAAACATAGATCATGCCGTGTAGGTAGTAAAAAAATGCTAGAAGATAAAAAGCCAATTTACACCATCCTTCCTTCTGACAATATGCTAGAATATCTGCATTCATGATGGTTGTAGGATCATAGAGTCCTGGTCCACTCAACACTGGTCTACTCATATACCTCCAAATATGATATGCCAAGAGGGGCATATTGAGACCCAGTGTAAGCCACTCTGCTGCACAAAGAAACATGACACAGAAGAAAGCATGGATGAGGTACTCTGGGAGTACAAGGGGATTCAGGGTATTACACTGGTCTATAGGATTCTTGTAATCAGTCTTCAGCTCATCAAATGCTATAATGTGCCAAATGGCGAAGAAGATGAGCGTGGCGGTGAGCAACAGCGCCAGCATGTAGCAGAAGGCCGCGAATGTGAACGCCATGGCCAGGGAGGAGCAATACTTTTGATTTTCAAGGAAAAATATATGTTTAGATGTGACTTCATATCCTTATTTCACATTCTGGTTTTGATCCACAAAAATCTGTTGAAACTGTGTTTCAAACTTTAAATAAACTTAAGGTTTTTTAAATTTATCTTGAAAAATTGGAAGGTACGACATGGTCACACTGAGGCTGCTGGAGGTGAGAAGAGAAGGCTTGTGTTGTCAAGTCCAAGACTTGGACTTCCTCACCAGTCACGTTTGTTCCTTTATTTTACCCATCTGGATAGTGTAGAAAGTTTAAGTTTGCAACCTCTGTTTAAATACATTTACATTTTACTTTCAATCCAGTTTTATCCTTGAAATTTACTCCTACTTCAAGTTGAGTGAGAATTTGTAGTTTAAAAGTCTCTGAGAAAATATATATTTACGCTTAATAAATGCTGCTGCATTTAAATTCTCCCCAGGTTCTACCCTTATCACAAATCCTATAATAAATGTCTTTTCCTTCGTTTGGCGAGATGTCCCTGAGTTCCAGTATACAACCTTTTCTGCTGCAACATGTTAATGAACCTATATTTAATTGAGTTCCACGAGTACTTATTTAGCGCTTATTCATGATAAGATGCTGGAAGAAGTTAATGGGCTGTAATCAAGATAAATACATTTACTACTAAACTATCTCAATATATGGAGAAAGAAAAACTACTTGAGGATAACAGTAAAGGCAAATGACAGATTTGAATCATAAAATTGGCAGGGTGTGGTGGCTCATGCCTGTAATCCTAGCACCTTAGGAACACAAGGTCAAGAGATTGACACCATCCTGGTCAACATGGTGAAATCCCAACTCTACTAAAAATACAAAAATTAGCTGGGCGTGGTGGCACATGCCTGTAGTCCCAGCTACCTGGGAGGCTGAGTCAGGAGGATCATTTGAACCCAGGAGGCGGAGGTTGCAGTGAGCCAAGATAGAGCCACTGCACTCCAGCCTGGCAACAGAGCAAGACTGTCTCAAAAAAATAAAAAATAAATTAAAATTTCCTCCACTGCAACAGACTTAATCTATCTGCCAGTGCTGTCTGGAGCTTAGTTGACAAAAATGTTCCATTTGAAATTTTTATTGTAAGTATTCTGCTGCAATCGTAGTAGACAATTCAAATCATCATAACTTTCCTGATAGTGAAGGGTTTAGTACATATCTTAAAGTTTTTAATCACAAATCTCAATTTCCTGTGACTAAATGAACTCATTACTAAGAGTTTTTATTCAAAGTTGGTACATTCCCCAAGGGGTGTTTAGAAAAATATGGAGCATTTTAGTGATTAAGAAGCATGGATACATAATGCATGCAATCAGTGGGACAGCAAGAAATAAAGAAGCATGTTGCCCAAATACCAAAATGCACGGTCATCCAAAAACACTGAGCTCCACGGTACAAGCTTGGTTTCTGACGCCAGTTTCGCAACTTAGCAAGTCATATTCTAAGTCTTAGTTTTTTTTTTTTTTTCCTTCTGATGATATTGAGTAATAGAATCATTTCTAAGCTTTCATTCTGCTTTTATGGTCTGATTATCTAGAAAATATTGATATCCTCCTTTTCTAAAGGTTTATAACAATTACAGATATAGCAACACAGGATAGAATTTTAATATATCTTATGCTTTTGCTCTATATTTTCTTTTGCATAAATTATCCAAAATTAGATTTTCAACATCTTGAAGACATAAACTTGGATATACAGGGGTATAGTTATCTATATCAATATTTATATCTGTCTACCTAAATATTTCAATCATACAAGCAAATATTTTTGGACATTGCTAAGTGCTTAAATACCTAAGTCATCTACATATACATTCTCATGCTTTTTTGCCTATAAGTACAACCTGTTCTTTCAATGGAGAATATATATATATATATATATATATATATATATATATATATATATATAAAACTGCATATAGTTTTCCAAAAGTCATATTTTCATTACTTCATCACAGTTTTTCAATATATTAAAATATATTTAAAAATATATTCTCTATATATAAAATATTACTTGGAAAATAGTTTACAGTTATAAATATGTTATTTTCATAAACAATAATTTATTGGTAATAGCCGGTTTATTAATTCATTGGAACACTGTAAATTCACTCTTCCAAGATTAGTACTAAAAGACAATTATTTTAAAACTGTATTATTACTTTGTTGGAGTAAAACGTTAAAACGTTATTCCCTTCCACAATTCATATAAATGTGAAATTCATTTAGTCAATCTTTTAGTTCAATCTTATTATACGGTTCTCATTTTGAAAAGATACTTTCATATTGTTTAGATCAGTTGATATAAGCTCTTCTTAAACTTCTGCTATCTGATTAAAAAGTTTTCTTTTCTCATAACTTACACTTAGGCATACTCTGAGTTTATAAAACTATCCGTAAGAAAGAATAACATACAGCTTAGATTTGTTAATACTTAAAAAAAATATATGCTTTTTCAACAAACTTCTAAGTTTGGTGCCTAATTATTTGTTTAGTTGTTTTTTTCTTTTTTCTCCATTAAGATTTTCTACTGCTAAAAATAACAGCAGTAGAAAATGATTCTCAAATCATTCTACACTATTCCTAATGAACCCATTAAAATACCTTTTCATTCAAGAAGTGTTAAACAATTATTACTGTTACTTTGCTTTTGACTTGCCATTCAGAAGAATACTAAAGTCATCTAAAACAATGTTTGAGTAATCATTTAGCCTTCTGCCAAATTTGAGCAATGAACTGTGTAACAAACTTACAGGAATAGAGAGCAAATAAATAATTTCTGATAAATGTATTTTAACGTGTTCTTTAATTGTTAATTGAAAATCACTGGACAGCACAGACGGTTATTATTACTTTTGCTTTTCGTCTTCATAATATCTCTTTTTTTCTCGAATGGCTTGTCTGAGATCATAATATTCAAGCCAAGAAAAGAGAAGTACTAATATTTGGGGTTGCTGCAATGTTGAATTGTGAATCATTTCAGGAGCATTATGAGCTGCTGAGTGCAGAGGTCCCTCTAAAAGCAATTCACTAATGACTACTTGTAGAAAAATGCATTTAATAGATTCTTTTTTTTTCTCCTTAAGAAATAAACACATTAAAAGCAGAAATTATTGGAAGCATTACTTTAACTGAATGGTTAGTATCAGAAAGATTAGCTTCATAAAGGCCACCAGACAAGAAAAGTACTTATTCTTTTAGTCAGCAAACAATAAATAGAAAATACTTCATTAACGTCCATGATTTTAAAGGATGCCATCCTATCTTGAAGCATGAACCCAAGCATAAAAGCACACTGGAGACTAAAGACCATCATATTGGCAATTACTATAGAAGCTTTGTGTCTCAATTTTATTGGAACACACTGCTCTAGCTGACGTCTGGGATAAAGCCCATCTGATGAATCCCACCAAGGGGTTACCTGTAAGGTCTTATGATATTATGCCAATATGCATTAAATATAATCTAAATGCAAAAGAGCTCATTTTGTCCTGGAAACAACCCTTGAAATAGTTTCTAGTCCTATTTTATAGATGAAAAAGGCATACAACAAAGAAAGCACATGATGTTGATCAAAGAAACCAAGCATTTGTCTGTTGATGAATTAATTATTCATTTGCTTCGTGAATGCAGGCACAGTCAAATTGACTGGTAAGGTGAACACAACTGCCTATCACTGTGCATTAGTGCTGAGTGAATGAGCTGTCCAATCTCCATGTAGTAGTTTACAAATGGTGCTGTGGTCAGGTGAACTAAATGGTAATATACCCATAGTAGATTCTAATAATTCAAACAAATATTCTACTTTGATATCAAGTTAGACACTTGTCCAGCAAGTTAAGAATAATAACGATAAATGTCAATGATAAACTTTTTAAAATTAGGGGAGTATAAACTTGAATTGTGGTTGAAAAGAATCACTCACATTGGATATTTGGTATTTAACAGGGTATTCTTCACACTATTTTTTTTTTTTTTTGAGACGGAGTTTTGCTCTTGATGCCCAGGCTGGAGTGCAGTGGCATCATCTCAGCTCACTACTACCTCCGTCTCCTTGGTTCAAGTGATTCTCCCACCTCATCCTCCCAAGTAGCTGGGATTACAGGCATGCACCACCACCCTCAGCTAATTTTGTATTTTGAGTATAGACAGAATTTCTCCATATTGGTCAGGCTAGTCTCAAACTCCTGACCTCAGGTGATCTGCCCACCTTGGCCTCCCAAAGTGCTGGTATTACAGGCATGAGCAACCATGCCCAGCCCACATTTTATAATTTTACATGACTCCAGAATAATAATCAGAAGACAAATGTGGTAATTTAATAACATTCAGAAGTATCTTGATAATTAACTAATGACATATTTTTACAGTCTATTGAGAATTACATTACCAGATTTATTTCACAAAGCCCTCTGTGGGTAACTTAACAACTTTAATCAGTCTGGACAGAACTGGATTAATCTGTACTCTCTGAAGCAAGAGAAAAGAAGTCAGAAGCAACAATAAAGCAAGGCTTTAACCCAAGTAAGTTGAAAAGATGTCAGGTTAAATAGCCCAAAGTTATGCAACCATATGCAACTGTTTAGCATGATGGTTTGGTTTGTGAAAATCTCTCCGTCAGGAAAACCCTTTAAATATCTAAGGTTCAAATATAAGTAAGAATCAGCAAGAATTAAAGCATTACTATAAAACCTAACATAAGGAAGAAATGTTTGTATCTTATTTATCTCCATTTCCCTTTTGTCTGACCTACATTAAAAAATACTACTTAACAGTAATTACAGGGGATGTTTCTTTGATATTTTTAATCACTAATACTACCTCTTTTTTAATGCAAGTTTAAAGAATCTCCAATTGTTGCTGTCTGGTGACAGTATTTAAGTTTGCTTTTGATGGATCGTTTATTACATTAGGTAGTACTGCATAAGCTGTCCAAGTTGGAAGGTAACATCAGGAAAATTGGGAAA